GCATGGTGTGGTGGTGAACGCGTTACTCCCCGGAAAGGATAATAGCGCGTTCGTTCCCCACCATAGACACCTGCGGTCCAGAGTTTTGCAAATATCTCAGCAACGTTGTGGTTGTATTTCGCTTAGTAACCTGCCATGAAAATTATAGAAGGCAGAAAACAAAACGTTAAACATTGTGATTTCAACTACAGCCATAGCTTAACTGGGTTCTATGCCGATTTGCGCTCCCCAGATCAACCCCGCTGACGGGTGATTGCTGTGGCAAAAAGATCGATAGAAATAGCTGAGAGACGTGCGAAACAAAGGACCCGCATGGTGTGGTGGTGAACGCGTTACTCCCCGGAAAGGATAATAGCGCGTTCGTTCCCCACCATAGACACCTGCGGTCCAGAGTTTTGCAAATATCTCAGCAACGTTGTGGTTGTATTTCGCTTAGTAACCTGCCATGAAAATTATAGAAGGCAGAAAACAAAACGTTAAACATTGTGATTTCAACTACAGCCATAGCTTAACTGGGTTCTATGCCGATTTGCGCTCCCCAGATCAACCCCGCTGACGGGTGATTGCTGTGGCAAAAAGATCGATAGAAATAGCTGAGAGACGTGCGAAACAAAGGACCCGCATGGTGTGGTGGTGAACGCGTTACTCCCCGGAAAAAAAAAAAAAAAAAAAAAAAAAAAAAATAGACACCTGCGGTCCAGAGTTTTGCAAATATCTCAGCAACGNGTTCACCACCACACCATGCAGGTCCTTCGTTTCGCTTGCTGTGGCAAAAAGATCGATAGAAATAGCTGAGAGACGTGCGAAACAAAGGACCCGCATGGTGTGGTGGTGAACGCGTTACTCCCCGGAAAGGATAATAGCGCGTTCGTTCCCCACAATAGACACCTGCGGTCCAGAGTTTTGTAAATATCTCAGCAACGTTGTGGTTGTATTTCGCTTAGTAACCTGCCATGAAAATTATAGAAGGCAGAAAACAAAACGTTAAACATTGTGAAAACAATGATTATTGAGAATTTAGCAAAACCTTCATAGAGTACTACTCCAGAATGAAAGGGCATGTGTGGCGCAGTTGTCGCCGGAGCCTTGCAACGCACATGTGGAATTGATCCAGCGCCCATGGCCCATCAAGCCTTCTTTCTCTCCGGAGTCGGCAAATTGGTACCAGACTTTTCTGGGAAGATAGCATCGCTGGCTCAATACATCGGTAGGCCACCGCGAGTCATTGTAAAGGCCAGATATGCATTCGATCATCTCCAAACCATGCTTGATGAAGTATAATGCACTGCGCATCACTCAGCGACTGATCAACGTCGAGAGTTTTATCCTTTTAGCTTTTACTCCAAAACGAAGCATTCTGATAAATTTGATTCCTTACCTACTAACTATAAAGAATAGTAAAGACTAGAAAAATCATAATGTTAACTTTCTAGTGATACTGGGATATTTGCAAAAGTCCGGATCGAAAGTGCCTGCGGTGGAAATCCAACACGTTATTACCCTTTCCGGAAGTTAACGCGATCGCTACCGCACCATACAGGTCCTCCGTTTTGCCTTTCTCTCAGTCTTGTTTTATAGGCGCTATCAGCAATCACCTGTTAATGGGATTGATCTGATGGCACAAATCGGTGTTGAACCCAATTAAGCTGAGTTTATAGTTGAAATCACAATGTTAGCTTTTTATCCACTGCTTACTACAATTTTTCACGGCAGAATATAATGTGGAAAGCAATGGCCGAGAGAAAGGCGAAACAAAGGACCCACATGGTGCGGTCCTGAACACGTTTGCTCCCGGGAAAGGGCAATAGCGGGTTCAATTCCCACTTCAGAAACCTGCGGTCCCAAGTTTTGCAAATATCTCAGCGTCATTGTGGTTGCACCCGAAAAACCGTCAAGTGCGAGTTGAGGGACTTCGATAGTGAACCGAACAGAGGTAACACGAACCAGATTTCAGGGGACAAAGTTTTCAACCTAAAAACACTTCGAAGTTAATTTTCGGTACGCTAATGTACTTCTATGATATTTTGTCTTTCATGAAATCAAATCAGCTAGATGGAAGAATCATGCTCGGTCTAATTTGGCGACTTAATGTGAATAAACACATCCATTTTGGGAGCGATTTAAGTAAGTAAAGATTAGATTTCAAAAGTAGGCTTTTACTAGAAGTTTCGCCAATTTATGTAGTTTCTTACAAGCTGCTTCTAACCAAATTCACATGATGTTCAAGCAGTGTGAAACCTACCTGATCTATGTAATCATTTACGACGTTATTGATTTCGGTACGAAGCTTATCTGAAAGCAAGAGGTGTAACTTATTAGCGAATTAAACTGATTTCATGCAACAGATAACATCAGAATAGAAACTGACACGGCTAACCTGTAATTTCAGTCTTTTTCGGCCTAAACAACTGACTGAAAAGCGGACCAAGGTTGCCTTGCTGTCCTTGCGGGTTAGCATTAGCCATATCCAAATCATGAAGAGTGACGTCCTGAACAAGAACTTCGTCCAATTTAAAGTACTCCATGTAGAAAAGACTGAAGTCAACATAAAGAATAGGAAGTTCACCTGCACGAGTTCTTTTGTTTTGTGAACATCGCCTTTTGGAAGAGGAACAAAATCATCAGCTTCAAGATCGAATTCAGATCCATAGACATCGCAGCGACCAAGGCGCTTAAACTTAGAAATATAATGTAAAGTAATGACAAAAAACATTGCTAAATCGCACAAAGAAAGTTAACCGTACCAACCTTTACAGCCCCACTATTGGCTTCAATGTAAATCACATCGCCGACTTCAATTCTTTGTTTAAGAATACTATCATAGATGCTGGGATCAAGTTTGAGCTGCTTACTTCCCTTTGCAGTTTTCAATGAAATTATGAGGTGTGATATTGTTTTTCCTGAAAGTTCACTCATTCTGTGCTGACCAATGAAGAGACAGGTTTTGACGTCATTTTCATCGAAATATTATCAGGATCAAAAAAAGAGGATTAGACAGCGACAACGTAAGCTAACGTTACTCATAGGAACCCCATGTAAACTTCCCATTTTCGTTTAAAGGTAGTTCACAATCTTAGTGAACTGTTCCCTAGAAGTAGGACGATTCCTATGAACTCCTAATAAATCAGAAACTATTGTACAAAACAAGACCTCCTACATGGTAAGGAATGTAATACCACGTAAACTATGAAAAACTCTCACTCAGTATAGCTTTTACGAAGATACCTTTGCACACATGGAACATTATTTGGTGCCTAGAGGATCCTAACAGTTTATCAAGTGCAACGAACAGTCAAAAACAACGAAAAAATGAAGAGATATGTCCAACTAACCATATCCACCAAGCGGATTGGTGGACTCAACCGGTGTTAGCTCAGTCACTTCACCTTCGTACACCTCTTTCTTTTCCTTCACACGCAAACCTCAAAGCAGTAAATGTAGACAGCTCAACATTACGAGAAGCCCAGATCAATCCCGCTGACGGGTGATTGCTGATGGCAGCGATAGGTAGAAAACTAGACGAGAGAAACGCAAAGGGCCTCAGTGGTGCAGTGTGTAATGCGCGAATCTCCGGAAAGAGTAATCATGGTTCGACCTAACCCGGGGTCCAAATTTTGATAATAGCTCAGCACAGCTGTGATTGCCAAAAGCAACGAACAAAAAAAACCTATTGCTCTTCTGAAGTTCTCCATTAGAACTTCTGTCTTTTTCACTTCGCTGGAATACACATCAGATGCCACGATAGGACAGAAGGGTACTTTGTCACCCAATTCTTGCGCCATCGCTAAAGCGATTGCAGTTTTACCTAGAACACGAACTAATTAGTGGAAACTAATAAAATTCACTTTAAAATAGTGAGAGAGACAATTAGGTTTTGTTAGTTTAGAGAACAACAAAGTGATACTCATCGAGGACATGTTAACAAACGTCGTTCAAATAATATTCCATGCAGGAGTACAGTGAGAAAGAATGACTCGTAAGTGGAAAAAGCCAAGAATACCCGTTCCAGGTGGTCCTGCGATCAGCACTGCTCTACCAGCCATATTTTTCATCCTCACTAGATCAACAATGACACCAGCTGAGGTACGAGCCAAGGTCTGTCCGACAAGTCCACCTGCCTGCAATAATGTCCGTAAATAGCATCAATTTTAGAATCGTATACGAAAGAAACAAACATTAGGCAGAGCCTCTCGGGTTGTTGGATCTAGTCCGAGACCTTTCACGTGACTGTGTGCCGCAACACGAGCTTGACGTGCTGTGTGTTCATCCTGAACTTCTCACTAGGTGTTTTTTAAGACAACTTTACCAGCAACAGAGTAAAAATAGTAAAGGAAGTACGAAAAAAAAACGAAAACAACAACATCCCTCCCAACGATCTACCGCCTCATCGTGGCCAGCAGGTGTTCCTGGGTGTCGGACTGCGACTTACAGCGGGGGATTTGTCCCCCGAGCAAGGTCTCTCAAGTTGAGAAGGAGTCCAACCTCTTCATCAGGAGGCTCAGCTAAGAGTAAACTAATGGCAGGATCCACCACCATCCTGGTATTAACCTTGTCGCATGGTCGCAAATCTCCTTCTGATCCACAAAGGTGGCGACTGCCCATGGTGGTTACAACATGGGCAGACTTTGGCCAGGTTGACCTCGGGACTCCAGGAAAACACAATAGCTAAGCCAGCAAAACTCCGAAAAATGGAGATTATGCTGGCGCACGCACAACTAGTGATGACGGGCCGCCGAAGTATCCAAGTGAGAAAAAACACCAAACACCAAACACTACACAAAACCAATGTTAACCTCGTCGACGAATGTTTTTATAACATCTGTAGATGCAATCGGAGTCTCATCGACTTCCATTGTCATCTGAAAGAAGTGACATGAATTGTTTAATGGAAAACATGGCGTTTTTCTTCAAACACGAATAAAGAACAAACAATTGACAAAGTCGGTAAGAATGAATAAGTAAACAAACAATAAAAAATGAAATAATAAACAAACCAAACATAGGAAATCGATCTGTTAAACATTCACATTCAAATAAGCGAAATTTGAAAGCTATAGCAACACTTGTGCAATTGCATCCACTGTCATTCTAAGCACGTCTAAGAAGGCACGAGATCGCGTGCTGAAAAGGTTCAGGAACTTACACGGGTGTGCTCTAAAAGCTTAAGGGTAAAGCTGTTGCCGTTGATCAGTTCCTGAAGGATGCGCCATGGAATCGATTTTATTAAGCATCGTTGGAGGTGATTGAACGCATATCTGGCATTTATAATGACTGGCGGTGGCCTACCGATGTGTCGAGACGGTACTGTCATCCTCCCAGACAAGTCTGCTACCAAATTGCCTAGCTCGGAGGGATGGGGGGATTGGTGAGCATAGAGCGCAGGGATCGATCCCATGTGTATTGCAAGGCTCCTGCGACCACCGCGCCACACGCGTCTCACGGAGTACTACAAAAGTGTTTCATTACTACTCTATGGTTTTGATGCCCCTACCTTCTTCAAAGCTGCAGTAGTTCGAATTCGATGGTTCTTAAGTGATTGCCTATTGACAGTAATTTAACACTTTCTAGCCGAAGCAAGAGACTTTGTTCTATTGAAGTAATTCTATGTGTGACTTTTATACAGTGTCCTTTCAGAGTTGTATATGTTTAGATTCACAACTTTTAAAGAGTCGGCGACGAAATTTTCAAGTTTTTAGTACTCCAATGGAAGTTAGCCAGCTGAAAACCTGGGCGATACCTTAGGGAGCACTATCCTATTTTTCTAGAGGAGGTTCCGTTTGTGAAACAACCATGATGATGCTGAGATATTTGCAAAACTCCGGACCGTAGGTGTCTGTGGTTGGGAACGAACGCGCTATTACGCTTTCAGAGGACTCACGTGTTCACCACCACACCAAGCGGATCCTTCGTTTCACCTGTCTCTCAGCTAGTTCTATCGATCACTGTCATCGGCAATCATCCATCAATGGGATTGATCTGGGGAGCCCAAATCTAATGGTGTAGTGGTGAGCGCGTTACTCCCGGGAAAGGACAATCCCCATCGCAGACACCTGTAGTCCGGAGCTTTGCAAATATCTCACCATCATCATGGTTGCTTCACAAATAATACTCTGCCGTGAAAACTAGTAAGAGGCAGTAAATAAAAGTCAACATTGTGAAGTTCCGTTTGTTCACGTAATTTTATTTTCGAAATATCAGCAATAAGCAAGAAAAAAGAAGGAACATATGTTATGAGCTCTGGAAAATCAGGATTTCATCATAATAAAACAGGAGAACTTTTATTCTGTAGGTAATAAATTGCCGATTCCAGTTGTTTTTACTTCAATTGAGGACGTTCACTACAAGCTGAAATATATTGATTTGAAGTTAAAGGTGGCCACCGTTTTGCATTCCATGGCTCCTATAGAGGTCACGTCATCTCGAAAGTGTGAATATGTACTGGCTGGCATAGCACTGACTATTGCAAGATGGATTGTCTGGAGAAAGATCGAAGCGAAATGAGACGGTGGTTCAATTTAGGTATCAGAGGTTTTCCAATTCCTGTCATAACAATGGAGAAAAACTTCATTGATCAAAAACGTCAACTTTTTGCATCAAAATCATCATGAGCACTTGAAATGAAATCGTCAGAGTTCAGAGTTCATGAGGTTTTCTGAATGAATTTGAAATCGGTTTGAGAGATCAGCCTAGTAAGTTCAACATAGAAATCCTAAGATTAACAAAAACAATTTTATGAAATTATAGAAGCGGATAGGAGGCGAGTAGCACAGTGACAGTGATGTCCGTCATCACGAGCATGGTTCTAGTTCGATTCCGCTCCGGGCCAACCGAGCCCGTCATTCCGCCGGGGTCGGGAAACTTCAACCGGAGTTGTATGAGAAGAAACCACTCTCTGCCTTTCAGTTGGGACCACTCCAGCCTGGCTATTTCAGGACTCTAGGGAGAATTGCCTGACTAGCATTCCGCGACATTCAAGATGAAATGAAAATCCTCAAGCAGCACTAAAAGTTGGAAGATGTTCTTGAACAATGGATGCGCAGAAACGAATCGAATGTGGGAAGTGTTGGGATCCGCATAGTAGACGTGAGGACGAAATAGAAGCAGATTTATAGCATTGAATTCTCATGTTTGATGGGTTAATGTGGAGAGCAAATGTCGCTAACATTCGGACTCGGTGAGAAGTGGATGTAAGAACGTTAAGAAATCTAGTAAGATTTATTTCTGCTCGGTAACAATGTGATGATAAGATAAGGGAAAATCCAGAAAATTCACAATCCAGACAGCACAAGAGTTTCTTCGAATCAAATGATCATATTCGAACTGTGTTCTGCTAATAAAACACGCAGACACAGTGTGAACTTATTTTCTTCCCTATCACCGGTTAGAAAAATAGAAGGTAAGTGCAGTGGTGAAAGGTGCCGAAAATAAATTGTATAGTCGATGGTTTAAACCCACACTAGAACAACAAAGCTTTTCATTCCAGTGCTGTAGTGATAGCAACAATTATACATTCGTTATACAAACGAGATGTTTACGTATAAGTTTGTTGTGACGCAAAGTTTTTCGAGTTTATCAAAATGTATTACTACGCGTACAGCGCAGTAATTTGAGCTTCCCTGCAATACACACGTCATCTTTGGTTCGATCCACACTCCGAGCTCACAAAGCCTTCCATCTCTCCGGTATTGGCAAATTGAGAGTGAACTTATTTAAGATGTATTTATTTATGTGATCTTATAAACTGATCTTCTTAAGCTGACGCTAGGTTGGTACAGGTTAATACATCACTGTGCTACCGTAAGTCGTTCTTTACGCCTTCAATCAACTCTTACGATGCTTGATGAAGTCGAATGCATAGTGCAACCCTTATGGATTGATGGGCGCCGAGTTCTTCATCCTTCATCAATGTGTGTTAGTCACAAACGGTGGTGTAGTGGAAACCAGTGCGTCCTCTATTTCAAGATAGTTTGTTTCAAATAGTTTACTATTCACAAAAAATTTACTGCTAGATGATGGTTGGCCAAAGGATGTAATTCACTAGCAAGTTTTCTCTCCTATATGTCTAATGCAAAGTTCTTTTACTGACTGACTGACTGACTGATTCCTATGTGGTAAGGCAGATCCGTTGATGATTTCAGTCTAATGATGACTCCCGAACCTCCAACCTTCTCGGTTCTGTACAAGCATGATGGTTGCTCAACGTTTGGGAATCATTAATTTTGTCATAACCACTAGTTACTATCTCTTCTTTTTCCATAGCAGGGCACAATGTGAAATAAAACTATAAGGATATTGAAATATGAACCAAACTCGGGACTCCAATATGGAGACAGTGAAAATAATAGTGAGAGAAATGTATAGCAATGGCTTCGGGTTGTGTGGTGGACAGCATGGAAACCATCAGTAGATTCAAATCACAGATTCAAAAAAAAAGGTCCTGAATTTTGCACATATCTCGGCATCCTTGTGGTTGTACTTCACATTGTTTTTCTCTCTTGTTAGTGTTGCATTAAGAGAGCGGATAGCGCACTGATGTGATCCAGTGCTTCACGTGGGCCGCTCAACCTACCAAAGCACTTGATTGACGCTGCTCTGGTCCAATCAGCCCTTTCATCCTCTAGGGCTGTGAAATTGGTGTTAAACTAGTCTGTAATAAGCGGGTTGCTTCAATGAATGCAGAAAATCGCCTAGCACTGCAATCTCAGAATTCTAAGGCGCATTCAGTCGACCAGCTTTCAACGATGTTCGTGATGAAGGCGAAAAAATTTTGAAACAGCAACGGAAGCTACACGCCAAACAAAGTTCGAAGACCTTTGTGGGTGGTGGATAGAGGAAAGGAATGAAGGCGTGCTTCATCTGCCAATCATATAAGTAGAGAATTTTCGCGAGAATATTCCCGTCATACATGTTTTGTCTTGTTTTTCTTGGATAAGGACAGCAGTACTTTTATAGCTCATAGCTGAACCGAATCTTCACAAAAAGAAGACTATTGCAATTGCTAGTCGGAAATAGGCCTTCGAGTCAGTTCTCGGCACCGAATAATCACTAGCTTTTAGCAGAATGCTCGACTTTGTGAGGAAAATGCCATGCGGGACTTTTCGTAGTTGTCACAGGAAAACACTTCAAACTTGGGTAATTGTATATACATAAATGCAACATCAATACAACAGTAATATCGACGGAAAACTACTGGTACACAAATAAGACAAGTTCAAGGCTATGAGGTGCTGTACCTACTACTAAAGTGAGGATTACGAAGGCATAAGAATATTGCAAATAATACTATTACAACATTAGTACTATGACAACGGTAACTTGACAACAATGACAAGTAAGGGGATACGAACGATGGCGCCCGCACTGGCGCGTACAGTGGCCCAAATGTCGAGGACTAGAACAACAGAAGAGTGAGATGCAGATGAGCCCTGCATTAGACTAAGCTAGAGATCGTATGTAGAGCGGCTGGGTGCATTTGCACATTAATCGATGAGGATAGCAAGTTACTTAAGCATCGATGGCGGAAGTGACCTCTTAGGTAACGATATATCTGCAACGTGAAGTTTGAGCATCGATGGATGCCACCATTTCCTAAGAGATTATAGGCCAAAAAGATAACGACTGAAAAATGATAAGCCTATAGCGGTTTAACAAATACACTGCATAAGTTGGCCGGCTAGCGGCCTTGTACGCATGGCGTACCGTGTGGGAGGAATGGTACATGCCACCGATGGCGTTTCAGACAGAACGCGTTTGAGGATAACCGCCGCTACTGACAACACACCGCAGACCAGTTGATAAATAATGAACATTGACATGAGGATGAGGATGATGATGATGATGATGAGGATACACTGGACTG